TGCTCACCCAATTGTATGGAGGCTGATGCAGAGCTCTTAAAGCTGGAAATTTGGCAACATCTGCCCTGGTATCACCTTGGAGAATCTGACACTAACAAGTGGAAGTTACATGTCTAGGTTTCATTCAGTGACCAATTCTTTGGGGGAATTATGAGATAATTATAATACTCATGAGTAAGCTATGAGTGTTTGTACTCCCCTATTAGAATGTGTACACAGATATAAACATATTTACACTTTGTAAGTTTTGAGGTTTTCACGGCGATGACTATGAAGAAAGTCGTCTTCTGGGTTTAGGCGCCGTGTAATCTTCGTTGGCCGACGTTTCGGAGGAACGTCGGCCAAAACGAAGATTACACGGCGCCTAGACGCAGAAGACGACTTTCTTCATATTTACACTTAATTGTTAAATATGAACAATGGATATCATTTGACTGAGGTTATGGAAATCTCTCACTAAAAGATCTTTTTTTCTGGCATTCCAGTGCTAACGACTTATGGTCAATGCACTCTTACAATGAACCCTGGATTCCATAATCATTAACTTCAAAAGAAACTTTGCTACAATTGTACTGCCTCTCATACTTTCATTTTGAATTAATTGTATGTGAAATGATGCATCTCTTTCTGAAAAAATATTGTCGCGTATTGGGGGTATAACGCGACAAATAACTTCACGCCGTATTTGATATAGCGAATTTTATTTCACATTCGCACTTACAATCACCCAAATTACAGATTTACGACTACTGCTATCTGCAGTATCACAAATAGTACACTCCAAATGCCAGAATACAACTGACTGGTTGCTGGCTAACTCGGAACTAACTCGGAGGTAGCTCGAGGACTGACTCATAGGTAGCTCCAGGACTAACTGACTCAGTAAACTAACTGTGAATAGCCTTCGCTGCTCCTTATGTAGCCTTGATCGGACAATACGGAAAACGGCCACGTAATAGGCACCCTTGTTGCCTGGCGCTGTGTTGCTAGTAACGCTAGCGGTAGTAACCGCTGTTACTACCGTAACAATCCTGTTGCGTCACCGTTATGTTACCGTGCGGAGGAGGGGGAGGGGAGCGCTGACTCCCCCGCCGCGTCACTGCTGGTGGGGGGGGGTTCTCCTTTGTGCAACATGTCACAATATTAACCATTTTATTCCATTGTGAAACATGGACTTCAAAAAAATGCTTGTTTCTAAATGTATGAAATTCTAAGGTACAAAAATGTAAGTTTTATCTATAAAAGTCCATGAATACTTTTATTCTAACAGCTGACATAAATTTAATTGCTGTGAAATTTCTATACAGTTGGTATTTGATGCCCATTACATTGTCTCACTCATATTGTCTGTACAAAATAATGAAAAAAATATCCTCCAGGACTTCAAAGCAGTTTTGTACACTTCAATTTTGGTGTACCTATTCTCTAAGTGATAACATTCTTCAGGATCTGCTCAGACTGCACATCAATTAATGGACAATGCAAATACTGCTCAACAGAAAATGAGTTGTGGCAAATGAGTTTATGTCTGGACGATGGAGCTGTGCACTTTGCATTAAGTGGTCATGTACTATGCTATGGGTGAAAATCTGCACATTGATTAACTCAAGCAAATGTTTTGTGCTTTGCAATAATATTGCTGAAGTTTATTTTGTATGGTACTGAACAAGAGATGAAGAACTAAGTAACTTTAAACTTCAAGAGATTTGTATGAACAAAACTAGAAACAATATCCTTCGTGTGCACTAAGTGAGTTTCCAAGTTTTTCAATCAATAAATGAAGTGAAACAGAAACATTGGCATCACTGTTCTTCTTACTGATGTGACAATTTAGTCTTGTGTAATGCTATGCTGTATCAAACACTTTTCCTTTTCAGCATTATGTAAAATTACACAATTGTGTACATAACTGCATACTTATATCTATTGAGTGTGTGTGTGTGTGTGGGGGGGGGCAAGTGTGTATAAGAGCACATGTGTGTATCTGTACATCTTTAAATTTGTAGTAGATATATCATATATTGCATCATTGATACAACTGACATAAGACAGGCAGATAACTACATTTCTACTGCAAACTGAAGAATTGTAAAGATATTAACATCCAGTGATCTGAAAGATTTTTTTAATATGAATGGAGGAAGAGGAAAGAAGCCGGTCACGGTAGCCAGGGCATGGATGTTTGTGTGCGTTTTTCTGTGTTTGTCTACAGTTAAAGGCCTTGCGACGATCTGATCACTCGCCCAAGGAGTCCTACCGCATGTGTAAGATCTAGTAAACCGAAGTGAAACGGAGAGTTTCATGGAGGTAGGCCTAGGCCCAAATTGGGGCTGTAGCGCCACAGGAAAAAAAAAGGGGGGGAAAGAAAATTTACTTATCACTGTGACGTTTTGTTAACATGTTTTATCATTCTTCTTGATATTACTTGAAGATTATCAGTGAAGACCTACCTACGGTCTACTGATGAGTACTTGGGGGAGGGTGAATGTTTTGTAATATAAATATCTGTCACTCTGTAAATGATGTAATAAGTACTCGTAACTTCATAAATAATCTCAATTATTAAGGTAATTCTGTTTGCTCTATGCTGAAAGAAATATTTGTTTAAATGGCATTTTATTATAACATTCTGTATCGTTCATTTTATCTTAGCATAGTAAGATACTTCTGTACCATTATTAACTACAGAATGCATCCTAGTATAAAGTGTAATTATTTTCAGCTCTACAGTTTGCCACTTCATAAAGTTCTTGTTACGAGTAGAACACAGACTCATGACTGTAGGGTCAAAGTGTTTGAACACCTTTCTTTCATGAACATTATCCCATTTTCTTTCTTTACCTGCAAACTACTATATCACATTTTATAAATTTCATATTATCTAGAGACACACATTTACAAAAATGGAAAATATTTTCCAAAGGGTATGAGATTTTATATGAAGTTTCAATACCTGGCAATTTTTGTGAAACATTTAAACCACTATAAAGAAGTGTGATGAAAGAATACAATTTTTTGCATTGCTGACAAAGTTAAAATATATTATTACTAGCAAAAGTGCTTATTCTTTGTCCAATTCTTTTAAATAAACTGTGCTGAGATAATTATATTGCTTATTTATTATGACTGTCTTATACATGTAATTCTGTTATGTACTTCCATAGCATGATGCATTCACTCTGGTGACTCTTCCATCTGTAGCGACCACCCCATCTGACAAGCCAGTGCTAAGTGAGGTTCAATGGAGTAATAGAATTATAACTGTGCTGGAACAGAGGCAGCAGTCCAGTCAATGCTACTGCATCATCTGATGCAAGGATTTAAGGCACCACACTGGTTGGGTAATTGCAGCATCAAGTATGAAACACTCCAAAAAAAGTGGGCAATAATCAGCCATTCTTTATAATATTCTGATGTTTTACATGACCTGCATCACTGGTCTGTTTCTGTTCTTAGAACAGAAATGGAGACACTGTCATTAAACAGCTGTCACACATGGGACCTGACATCATTAACATAAGCAGGTGACAACCAGCTGATATACGAGTAATATCATGTTACAATATCAAGCAACAGTACAGCTGTCACAGTTCTGTTCTAGAGCTACATGATTATTTCCATTATTTAAAAAGATAAATAGAACCATATAAAAATGAAATGTAAAGGAACATAAAATAAGATGTACATATAAAGACGATTATTTAAAGACTTTTTTTTTAAATTATACATTTTTATTTGAAGTTTCTAGTTTTAAAATATAATAAATACAGTTTATTTCATAATACTCTGTACTTTCTGAGTTTGTGTGTCACAAATTTATATGGTGACTGACAAAGATTAAAACCTTTCCATAAAAATATCAGGAATAAATGATATTCTTGTTGGCTTTCAATAAAAATATCAGGAATTATTAGGAAAATTGGGGAAGATTCTGGCATTGTTTAGAGTGGTTAGTGTAGGATTGATGGAGGTAATGGGTGAGAGAAAACACCAGTGGTGAAGAAAGGAGAAGAAATTAAACCGTAAATTTTAACAAATATAGATCTATTACAAATATGCACAAAAAATATTATATCAAACATTATCAAATCCAAGTCCAAAAAGAACGTTTATGAATTAAACAAAAATTCCATGTGAAATCAATAAGCCCTATTTATAATTAATACTTCTAGGCTGCATATGGAATACAGAAGGATATAATTACTGCACATTCTCAATCTCTCTCTCAGTATAACAATGGATCAACATTTCTGACAAGTTAGATTTCAATACTTAGTCAGCTAATATACATAAAATGTATAACCTTTCAGTCAGTCCTGTTTCCTACCATGGAACCATAGGTATGAAATTTACTGTGTATTGGTGTTAGTATTCATGATGGCTGAGTCTGACAAGTTGATGAAGTATTGCTTTAATTTCTTATCTTTACACTTACATATTGTCATGAAAAGCACTTCTCTATGGATGATATTTGGTCACCACCATCTTCCTCAGTACAGGAAACAGTTCATACAAGCTGAGCCATGCAGTGGCTCCGGTATGACGTCATGGGCTTCCAGNTCATCTTCCTCAGTACAGGAAACAGTTCTTACAAGTTACATACTTATATAAAACTTATTGCACACTGTAAACATTTCCCTGATGATGAATCTCGATTCTATTTTATGGCTGACAGAGTGGTNATCCCCTCCTTTCTACCCTTGGGAGCAGCGCCTAGCCAGCCAGAGTGACTGTCAAATTCCTGTTCGGCTGGAAGTCCAAATTTGGTTTCAGCAAGTACTGGGCTGGTTCACGGCCGGCGAGATCGCCCGCGGTCGCCCGTCATTGGGTTTGTTGTACGGCGGCGACTCGTACCAGTTTAGTTAAACCTGTTTTTATAATTTATATTGTGTATTTGATTTAGACTCAGCCTGTGCCCAGGCTAGGAAGTAGTAGTTATGTTTTCATGCAACCAAGGCAAATTGTTGCNAATCTCTCTCTGAGTATAACAATGGATAACATTTCTGACAAGTTAGATTTCAATACTTAGTCAGCTAATATACATAAAATGTATAACCTTTCAGTCAGTCCTGTTTCCTACCATGGAACCATAGGTATGAAATTTACTGTGTATTGGTGTTAGTATTCATGATGGCTGAGTCTGACAAGTTGATGAAGTATTGCTTTAATTTCTTATCTTTACACTTACATATTGTCATGAAAAGCACTTCTCTATGGATGATATTTGGTCACCATCATCTTCCTCAGTACAGGAAACAGTTCTTACAAGTTACATACTTATATAAAACTTATTGCACACTGTAAACATTTCCCTGATGACGAATCTCGATTCTATTTTATGGCTGACAGAGTGGTACATCCATTTCCTGAGAAACCATGTATTTTTATCAATTTTCAGTAGGTAATATCATTATTCCTCTACCAAAACCACAGGCATGGCTGTATTGTTATGACATGTTTTATGATTACCATGCCAAGTACTTAGGCTAACAGTATCGTGTTCTACAATAGTGCATGATAACAAATTACTCAGTGCAGTCTGAATATCAAAGACAGGGAACTCTTTTTATTTCTTTCAAATTTTACTAAATAACAAAATATAGGATGACCAGGTATTGATAATGAATATAGTATTAAAGTTTGATTGTTTCATCCTGGTCCGCCACACTAACATTATCATAAAAGGTTAATGAATTCCATCCAGTGCAACTGATCAGACACACTGGATGGATGGAATTAATTAACCTTTCATAACAATATTAAAGTGATATTATCTCTTTAAAGGTTTAGCTGCTACATAGGATGTTACTGATAATGAAAGGGACCATATCCCAGGTATAGTTAGTGCCTCGTAACTTTAGCCGCGCAGAAAGTTAAACACTGTTGTGGAGCACGCGAAGCCATTAGCTTGCTGTGGTGATGTTCAGAGCTACTTCCCTGGCTACTTCCATGCAACTGTCAGTGTGCCATGATAGTGACACAAACACCACGTAATACAATCGCTATGACTGGTACCAACTAACAAGCAACACAACGTACTATACACCTGAGCACACTCCAAGACAGTACATTCCAAACTGGTAGTACCCATGCTGACATAAGCTGATAAGACTGCTCCCCCCAGCCCCACGAGAGATGCTATGACCCCTCTACCACGGCTAGAGTTCCGAGGAACTAACAGTAAAGAATAGGTACTTCTCATAAAGTACACAAATGTTTTTAAATATGCTGTATTAAAACTTCATCATTTAACACTGTTCTAATCAGCAGTAAGTCATAACATTGGTTGTATTATAAGATCATTAGTGTTACTGATTCCTACTGCCCCTTCAGAAGCAGCTCCACAAAGGTGCTGTGCTTCATTCCGTTTTGACGAGTAACGTTTACCACAGCGTTCACATCCAAAAGGTTTCTCACCTGTGTGATGACGACTATGTGCTTCAAGGTGAGACCTCTGAGTGAATGCCTTGTCACATGAACAGCACTGGTAGGGACGCTCCCCATTATGAGTTCTAGAATGTATGACTAGAGAACCACTGTCACGAAATGTTTTGCCACATTCAGAGCACTGAAACGGTTTTTCACCCATATGATTTCTCATGTGATAAGTAAGGCCACACTTGTGAGCAAACTTAGCATTACATACAGTACACTGGTATGGTTTCTCCCCAGTATGCATTCTCATGTGACTCAGAAGAGCACTGTTCTGACTAAAACTTTTACCACATACAGTACACAGGAAAGGTTTTTCTCCAGTGTGAATCCTCATATGCCTAGCACGAGTACTTTGATCAACAAACGATTTTCCACACAGTTTACAAGGAAATGGTTTTTCACCACCATGGCTCCTCATGTGCACCATGAAGGAACTATTACCACCAAATGCCTTCCCACATAACGTACAAAGAAAAGGCTTTTCCCCTGTATGAGTCCTCAGGTGTATCTTAAGACAATTAGAATTCCCAAAACTTTTCTCACATGAGTTACACTGGAAAGGCCTCTCACCAGTATGTATTCTCATATGTTTTGTGAGGGAAGCATTATCACCCAGATACTTCCCACATACACTGCAAGTGAATGGCTTCTCTCCTGTCATATGAACTCTGGAGTGTCTCACAAGAGCGCTATTTTGTGTAAAGGTCTTGCTGCATTTGCTACAGTGGTATGGCTTCATACCTATGTGCATTCTCATATGTAACACTAAACTGTCTTTTCTAACATAGGTCACACCACATTCTTCACAGTCAAACGTTTTTTTCTTCTTGACTTTGTCAGAAGGTTCTTCCAATGGCATAACAGTTTTACTAGTGTGATATGCTTCAGTGTTTGTCTGAAGAACTGGCCAAGAAGTGGGTGAGTGTGAAACAGAGCTTTTGACAGGACACCTGCATTTTAAACATTGAAATTATATATACAATATCCATTATCCACACATGATCATAAATGAAAACATATCAATTAAAACCATATAAACAAAATTTTGAAAAATTATAAGGATAAATAAGGGCTTAAACATTGAAATTATATATACAATATCCATTATCCACACATGATCATAAATGAAAACATATCAATTAAAACCATATAAACAAAATTTTGAAAAATTATAAGGATAAATAAGGGCTAACAATATGTACCTCTTTTTTTTAGATTCACAGACTAGGTTATCTATGGCAATACATCTTATTAGCACACAGGAGTAATTATCATATGCTACTTTCAGTTTACACTCACATGAATGCATCATCATCTAGAAAAATACATATGCAAAAGCATCACTGGTGAGAGCCAGGGCAGATTAAGAGCGAGACTGGATAACCATGGTCTGATACCATGCAAGAGCATGAAATTTTACTCATTTCCGCCATGTACAGACTGGCCTGAGAATCTTATCTAATGGGCAATGGGAAACTACCCCTCTCCCCCTCCAAGGTTAAGTGGCTAGCATATGAAGCTGAACACTCACTTTTACCTAGTGACAAAGTTATAAAAGCAAAGAGCTGTACCTCAGCTCAATATATTTTCATGGCAATTAATTATGCACATAAACAAATTTACTTTGTTGAATTATAATACAAGTATACAGACTGTCCGGAAGAAAGTATCCAAAAATAAAAAAAAATGTATCTCTCAGAAACTAACTGTCATACACTTATCTGGTTTATATCACTGGAAAGGAAAACTTTGAAAGTTTTTTATGCCCAGTTTACGTGCAAGCGCTGCCACATTTCTGCCACCATGTTAGGAATCACCTGGACAGAGAGATGGCTGGGAGATGGATCGGCAGAAGTGAACCAATCACTTGGCCTCCTAGGTCACCAGATTTAACCCCAGTGGATTTTTTCTTGTGAAATTACGTGAAGAACATTGTCTACCAGGTTAAGATCAATGAGCTTCAACACCTGAAAACCCAAATAAGGGACGCTGTGGCTATGGTAACACCACAACATGCTTCAAGCAATGTGGAATGAGGTCGAATATCATCTGAATATTTGTCGTGCCACCAAGGGAGCCCACATCTAAATTTACTGAAAAAGTTATATAGGCAGAAAAAACTTTGATAGTTTCCCTTTGTAATGGTGTGACCCATTATTGCGTAAAAATTCTTGAGATATAATTACTTTATTTTGGATACCTATCATACAGACACAGTGTATTTATTACTGACCTTTGATCATCACTACTGTCTGATCTGAGTAGTTGTTCTTTAACCTGCACTTCCACTGGTAAGCACTGGTCCTCTTCATTACTGTTGGCTGGTATCTCAGAAATACAGTTTCTATCGTGGTCTTTTTCCTGCTGTAAAAATATCTGAAATTTAATTTTGATGCAGGCATAATCTATGTAGTTAAAAAAGTAAAGGTATCCCTGTAGCAGGCCATGGAGGGCCATAGGGTTGTGAGATGTTGAGGTTCCCACATTTTCTACACAATCGGCTCATAGATGGCGGAACGGTTGTCAGCCTTACGCGCCGGCTGCCCTTTACCCCCAAGAATATTCCTGGTACTCATTTCTATTACAGGCTGAGTTGACCCCAGGGCCATAGTGCGGCTGGAAGCATTAGGTAAATTGATAAAAAATCCACCTCATCAGGATTTCATCCCACGACCTTCCAGCCTGTAGCATAGTGCCCCAATCTATGTTGTTAAGAAACATTATTAAGTAGCCTAATATATAATCTTTCATTTATAAGATGAATAATGGCAATCTGAAATGACTGCTGAGCACACAATTATCAGACAAGAATAAGGAAGTGTCTTTCCTTTCTGATGCTAGCCAGCATTGGCACCTCTTTTAACCATATTGTTGCAATATTTGATTACAATGGAAAATGCATCTATTACCATACAGTTTTACACTCAGCTTTAGTCCACATCAAGAAATAATTTTCTCCCTTCCTTTCATCATTCAGCTTCATTCATATGCCTATGAAAAAACATATTTCTTGCAATTTTTTTCAATTTTTATGGTGAAATTGCATTATTTTAGGAAAACTGTGATAAAATAATAGGCAGTGAACAGGATTTATTATTATAAATCTGTTATTAAACATAACTTCAATGCATTTTTGGAAAACATAACAATCTGTTCACATAAGATACATACAGTGGAACCTCGCTTACGAGCATAATTCACTCCAGAATCTTACTCGTAATGCGAAACACTCATTAAGTGAAACAATTTTTCCCATATAAATTAATGTAAAATATGATAATGCATTCCATGCCGAAAAAAATACTCAAAAAATTTTATGTATAACGTTTATTCAAAGAAAATTATATATACATTGTTAAGGAGCGTGAATCATCTTCATCTTTTCTTCTATGCGGAATGAACCAACCTGGAATACGAATTCGATTTGCAGAAAAAAAAATCTAAATAATTAGTTTATTATTTGTGATACATATCTAATTCTTTTTTACTAGAAAGCTGTGTAGAGACATTTGTTTTTGCCGACGCTTCAAAACTTGGTGAAAATGCGACAGAGCATTATCATTAAATAAATCTGTAGGGTGCATAGCCACTGCCTTATTAGGGTGATGCTTCTCAATGTACGATGCAACAATTTCCAATGCTTTCAGCATTTCTCTTATTGCGCCTGAAGATTGTTGCTTTGCTGTTGCCTCCTCCTCCTCCTCCTCCTCCTCCTCCTCCTCCTCCTCTGACAAACTCTCCTCCACAACTTCTTGCTGTGAAACACAACGCAACTCCAAATCGTGCAAATCGTTGATGTGACCGATTGTATGCGCGTGCTAGATCAGCCATGCTCACACCTCATTCTCGCTTTTCAATGATTTTACGTTTCATTTCTATGGTTATTTTTATTCTCTTATGGCTGTCTTTTTGCGGCTTTTTCTTCGGGGACATTTTTGCAAGGGTTATTAAACTTTGCACAAAAAAATCACAAATAATATGTCTGAACACAAGTTTGGAAAAATGTGTGATCACAAGCGACACTAAGATGCTAGCAGAACAACTACTAAACAAAGACTGATGTAGCAAGAGCACAATCCGGGACTTCCTCTCTTGTCACTTGTTATGCAAAAACGTCGCTCGTTAAGCGAGTCATTTTTTTACAATTTGTTTTGCTCATTATGCGAATTACTCGTCATGAGAGGTGCTCGTTAAGCGAGGTTCCACTGTACTAAATTTCATGACAACTGAGCAATCATTTCAAAGTTGGAAAGGAACAAAGAACACAAATATTAATTTCCATCACAATGTATCAGAAAATATCTATTTATGTACTTTATAGGACACTAATTGTGACTTTCCTCTTGATATTAAATACCCTTTGATGCGTGTTAAAACATAATCACCTTTACAGACCAAGCTGGAAAATTCTGATTCTTCAGGTACTGCTGCAGTGCAACATTTGACCTTTCACACTGGACTTTGAACTCATAAAAACCATCCACCTTCTGGGCACACAGCACACAGATTTGAGTTGGCAGGTTGTCACCAACAAACATCTATTGACAGACAACTTGGATAATGTTACTTCATTCACTTTTTTGTTATTTATCTAATCATGAAAATGAGGTCATCCCTTGGGGGTGGGGTCAAGGGTCCACAGTAACCCAGCCTATGAGGGGCCCTGAATATTTTAAGCTAGTGAAAAAGAACTTCAATAACAACAAAATTCATGGAACCCAGACAAATACTTACAATACTCATAGATGCAATGTTTTAACTTCTTCATATGGTCAATGTTTGGAAAACTTATATGTAAGCCTCAGGGGGCTGAATGGCCATGCGTAATTCCCCTGATCAAGTCATGATGATTATTATTTTATGACAGATAAGAACCACAAACAAGTAAAATCCCAGATCCAACATTAAATTACGGACATAAATTATGACAATTTGTTTTAAAACCTGAGAAGGCAGTTGCATACTTTGTCATCTTGTGAATCTGGCCTAGAATCTTCAAATGTACAATGCACTTTTCTTCTAAAACTGAAATTGCGAAATTTACATTTTACTGTGAGAAGTGATTTGATGGGATTAAGACAACGACATAGAACTTTAAGCGAAAAAAGTAAAAGATATCAAGAACTTTATCACAGTGTGGGTCCTTATTAGAAAATCAAAGTAAGCAAGTTCAGAATACAGTGGCTGCAAATTTATAACCAAATGAAGAATAAAATGAAGAATAAAATGAAAGATGAAGTTGGTATCCAGATAAACACATTTTGAAAGCTTAATGATGACAGTACACTCTGGAGATAGAAACAGTGGGTTCTGCCAAAATATTATGACCTCTCTACCAAATTACACAAAGTCACATCCCAGGAGAGTTCTGCCTAAGAAAAATCCTTATTTACATGCATACATACAACAGTTATTACGCCTATGAACATTACCATCACAAATTCTATTCAATTCCATTTTTACTGTCATTCCTTAAGTTTGATTACATTCTGTTTACAATTGAGGGCCTGTACAATAATTCTTACACACTGAACAAGTTGGTCCAGGCAGTAATGTTTCTGACTTGCATCTAGGAGGCGGTTGGTTCGAATCTTGGTAGAGCCACTGACTATCCCACCATTTTCGTGGTTTTCATTGGTTCCTTCATGCGAATGCGGTGACAGTACCTCAAAATATGCCACAACAGCTTCCAAATTTTTTTCAGTTAACGTTTCAGTAATCATCCTGTGTTACTGACAGTGTCGTTAAACGAATACTAATTAAACACACAATTCTTAAATTCTAAAATCGACATGCTGACATACATGTAACTCCCGTAGCACCTTCTGATGGGTCACTGAATTCCATTCAAATACAATACTTGCCATTTAAAATGAATACATCCCGTTCAGAGGTATACTCGTACTACAAAAAAATTAACTAACCTTCAGATCGGGAGCAAAGGATTTGATTTTTAATGGCAAAGTCTTGTGTTTATCAAAAAGAGGAAGCAATGGCTCTCCCTTTGTCATACAGAGTCTGCAAATCGCATCGAAATTCATGGACATTTTTGGAATGTCAATTGCTGTAACACAAAAATACACATAACTTCGAAATTCCAAACATGTATCATTCCATCATGAGACTAGTAACGGCTCCTGTGTGCATATACACGACGTGTAGGGACTTGAGTCGTGGACACAATCGAATGAGCGCTATCGAATGATTCGATTCTTTCATACTCACGCGTAATTAGAATATCAAAGCAAGAAGTTTTGGGAAGAACTAATCGCTTACTTTCATTTGAAACGACATGGACAGCATAGGAAACGACCTAGCAATGCTAAAGGGATGCATATACAGGCACACAGACTGATATGAGGTATTTATAAGAAACACCTCTGAGATGTGCCACGGTGCACAGACCAAGTCTCCTATCGATTCATTCAGGCATTCAGAAGTTGGTATGAGGGATTCATTGAGACAACATGGGGATCTCCTAAGCGTACTTTCACTTTTCTCTAAATAAATAATCAGGCTAAAGTAGAACCGCAATTCATTCGGTTTTCGCTACTTGGGAGTAAACTGGATATTCCATATTTTAAAGACAATAGATCACATAGACTACGGTTCCCACAAGTTGATTTGTATCTTCTGGGACATCATACAATGTAATCCTGGAAACTACACCGACTTTTCAGAGAAATATATTTCTTACATTTTCAGTCGAAGAGTAAGCCAAGCCAAAAGCCAGCAAGAAGTAAATGCCAAGCAAAGCCATTTCTTGGCTTATTCTTCAACCTTAAAGTGAGAGGCGTCATTCCCCTTAATTGTGGACTGACTTTTACCGGACCTCAAGGAGTTACATTCCAGAATACAGAACTCAACTCACAAGCGTAACAAACGGATCCCGTTCAATCCAAATCGCACTCCGCATATTTTGACATGATCAACAAGTTGGCGATCCTGATATTGTTCTGCTACAGTTGTAAACCTTCCGGCACCATGTCCACAAGGTAGCCGACTATTCTTGTCAATATTTCTTTAATTGTTTCATTCATAGTCTAAAAAGGAAAATACAATCCGTGGACATTATTGCGTCTTCTAATATATGTTGCGGGAACAGTGAAGTCGGAAAAAGTGCTAGAAGGCGAATAGGGATAAGAAAATATGGCTGCAATAAATATAACTTGCTTTTGAAATACAGGTTATGGTACGTAATGAACGCATTTTGAAAAGAAAAAAATATTATTTCTGGCGATGCTAGTAAACATCTTTATATCCAGAATTTAGTGCCAATGTTAACTCTTCCAAACTTAAACGTATAACGTTGGAATATCTGATAATTTTATTTTATCGGTATAGGACCATTTAATGTGAATGAAATGGGTAGTTTCGAGTTCATAACGGTGAACGAATTGGCGTGTTGTTCCTTCCCTTACAGCAGGTATAAGCCTACCACCTTTTTATTGTATATTTCGCATCGTTCTGCTCAGAAAGTGAAATAGTTTTAAATTCGAATGATTACAAAAACTCCTCATACGATAATATTGAACATCTAACAGTGAAGCATAGGAATGGTTCCCTTAATAATGATCCACTTCTTGAGAAATATATTGACTTGTTACGGAGTTAATTTGTAAGGTTCAGTGGCCCCTGATTTTAAATGTTGGTTGTCTTAATATGACACTGTGCTGTGTTTACAATGCATGTGAAAATCACTTGCCATTGAGTGGGGCAAAAAAAAAACTACAAGTTTCACTTCTTCCCATACCATGCATATTAAAATTATTAGGCATATGATCTGCTGCGCAATCATATTGAAAGAAGGAAAAAAGTTGTACCACTGGCAGTTGTTTTTTAAATAGTGTAAACTTGTCTCATATCTGTTTGAATTTAAATTCATGAATTCTCAATATATTAGTTGGTATCATAGGAATGTGTGTTTTTTATTTTGTTATTTATTTTGGGTGTTTAAATGGCCACCTTATTAAATTACGTTTAATTATATGGGAACAAAGTTTATGTCTTTATAGTAAACCATCAGAAGTTATCTGTGTGTCATTCTAGACTAATGCCATCTGTATCCATTGTCTGTGATATAAAGATTTAATTTATTATTTTGTAGTTTATTTAATGATGCTGTCAGTAATACAGACTATGTAGCATTAAATGATTGGTTGACTGAATATTAATAAGAAAATATGTCAAAGGATGCAATCATGGCCTAATTTAGGGTTGTGTCCTGATACTTGCCTAGAAAGACTGAAGAAAATCACAGAATACCTCAAGCAGGATAGTATCTTGGCTGAGACCCAAACTGATCACCTCTATAATACAAGTCAGAAGTGATACTGAAGAGCACTGTCTTCTTGGATATAACATCATGTCATGCGTTGAAGGTCAACTGACAATTCAGAGGAACCTAATGCCTCCATCTTCAGGGTCAAATAATCAGTCAAACAAGAAACCTGAAGATGGAGGCAATATGTTCTTCCAAAACGTCGTTTGACTTTCAACAGGCTACCTAGTGTTATGTCCCAGGAAATAGTGTTCTCTATAACCACAACTGTGAGAACCTCAAATCCTGCAGAAGTATTACTGCTTGAGCCAGCTTTCACAACATAAAGGTTATGGAATACTTTGTACAGGGTGTTTAGTTAAGGAGGAAACTTTGCAACCCCATTGACCGGGCCCAATATTTCTCACAGATTGCTGCTGTAACTGTAACTGTAACGGTGCACATTTATCAGCGTAAATGACTCATTTTGCTACAAGCTTTTACAGCAGGAATATGTGAGGAATGTTGGGCTGGGTCAGCAGTGTTGCGAAGTTTCCTCCGTACACACTGTAGAATGTGTCAGTTATTCTTAGAATATTCTGAAGCTGAACACACCTGCCAGAATAACAGTTCTCTAGTCGAGAGAGAGAGAGAGAGAGAGAGAGAGTGTGTGTGTGTGTGTGTGTATGTGTTGCTTCAGTGCGAGAATTATATATAGTAAAATTAATTTTGATTAAGTTACAGTCTTCATATAATCATCCATCATAATCATTACTATCACCTTGGTGGTGCCCCTCAATGCTCATAAGCTAGATTGGCATTCACTAAGGGATGAGGTACCAGAACAACTCAGCTGTAAGTGCTACCCTTCTTTGTAAACAGATTCATTTAGTGGATTGGTCTTCGTCTACCACTATCTCAAAAGTGAGAGTATAAAACTGAACTATGATAAATTAGTTTCTAAGACATATTTGTATGTATTTATGAAGGTTTTTTTTTCGTTGACCTTGATATGTTGTATGCGGTAATTATTTACACGTACAGAACCCATCATATATATCATGATAGGTTTGAACAAGTTCATCTTGCAGTACTGCCAATAATACAGGGTTATTCAAAAAGAATGAACCGATTTCATGACACATTGCTTCAGTTCTCAAGCATTATCCTGGAATGAGTCAGTGACCATTTGAAAGAGGAGTTATCTAAGTTGTGAATGGCTGCCACAGGGGCGCTGAAGTTGAGTCGCTCTTCCGGCAATGTTCAGTTGTTCGTTTACCCTCGGAATGGCGTGTCCTCAGCAAAAGGCGTTCTGCGTTCACGAGTTCGCGAAAACAGATTCGGTTTTCACGGTGTGGCATGCTTTTTGAAGGCGATTCGGTATTAATCCACCCTATCCTAAGAACATTAAGTGGTGATTTCGACAGTTTCAAGAGAGTGGGTGTCTGTGTAAAGGAAAAAGTCCAGGACGACCACGAGTCTCGGAGGAACAAGTGGCGAGAATCCGTGCTGCGTTTGAGAGGAGCCTGCGGAAGTCAACAAATCGAGCTAGCCATGAGCTTGCGATCCCTCAATCCACTGTGTGACGTGTGCTAACAGTACATCTACATTTAAAACCATACAGACTGCAGCTCATTCAGGCACTTACCAATGACGACAAAAGGAAGCGGATGGAAGTTTGCGATTCGATGCTGGAGGTGATGGAAGATGAAACCTTCATTTCACGTTTAATTTTTAGTGATGAAGCGACTTTTCACTTGAGCGGCACAGTCATTCCTCACGATGTGCGTATTTGGGGAACAGAGCACCCACATGAAACAGTTGGGCACGAAAGAGATTCCCCTAAGGTGAATGTCTTCTGTGCAGTGTCTCAGGACAAGGTTTATGGTCCCTTTTTCTTTGAAGGAAACACCGTTACAGGACAAACCTATCTCGATATGCTCCAAAACTGTCTCTTCACTTCACTGCAAGCAGATTCGCATGACTTCATTTTGCAACAAGGTGGAGCACCGCCCCATTGGCACCTGATGGTCCAAACTTTTTTAAATGAAAAAGTGCCCCAGCAATGGATTGGTCGGAAGGGGGCCCAAGACCTTGCTCTTTGTGCTCGGCCTGCGAGATCCCCAGACCGCATCATGTGTGATTTCTTCTTGTGGGGATATGTAAAAGATCACGTTTATGTTCCACCGCTACCCACTAAGCTCGATGACCTTAAACATCGAATAACAACAGCGATTAACTCAGTGCATCATGATATGCTGATACGCGCCTGGGAGGAATTCTCTTATCTCATTGATGTTGCCTGTGCTGCAGGTGGTGGCCACATTGAACACTTGTAAGACAGGAAATAAAAGTTGATTGTGAGTAGAAGACTTGTGACTTAGCTGGAGTTTTGTATTACTTTTTTTAATAAAATATTGCGTAATAAAATTGGTTCATTCTTTTTGAATAACCCTGTATACTGTAAAACAATTAAATTTGAAAGTTAAAACAGATGAGATGCATAGCATCCCTGAAGGTAGTTTTACAAATATAATACTTCACCAATCATTTTAATTGTGACAGTAATCTCTCTTAATGCTGCTATTGCATATATTGAGGAAAATGCATGTATCATGTCTAGAAAGATAGTTTGGGATGCTCTGTGTTCTTAGATGATGCATAATTCTGTAATGATAATTCCTTGTATTAGTTATGAAGTTAAGGAGAAATGGAAGAGAACAGATAAGTTGGTAAAATGTTATTACCTGAAGGATTTGGAATCTGTTTCCAAATACATTTCATCTGAGGATTTGACCTCATGGCTGAAATGTAATTAACCAGCACGATGAGGCAGAGTCTTTTGTCTCTTAGCTACTCAGAATATTCCCTGCATTTTATTGATCTCAGAGGTTCATTACTGTGTTCATAAAAGCCCACCAATAGTTCATCTGCTGGACCAGACGACTTCATTTCACAATCTCCCACCCCAGTTCTTTAAGATCAGTTTTAATATTATCCTCCCATCTATGTTTAGACCTTGTAAGTAGTCTTTTCCCTTCCAGGTTTCTGACTAAAATTTTGTATGCATTTCTCTAATCTCCCATGCATACCCCACCCCTCTTATCCTTCATAGTTTGACTGTCTTTGTAATATTTTTGGTGAAGACTACAAATTATGAAGCTCCTAATTTTCCAATTTACTCAAGCTTTCTACTACTTCGTTTCTGTCTTAAGTTCAGATATCTTCCTAAGCACTGTTCTCAAATACCCTTGTACCATTTTCCTTCAGTAATGTGGGAGATCAAGTTCCACACTCATACAAAACACCAGGAAAATTTATAGTTCCGAGTACTTTGACTTTAAAGTTTCTAAATAGCAGACAAGATGAAAAAAGTGCTAAATTGAGTGGTAGGAATTTTCTGAATTTAATGTGCTTCTAATTTGTTTGTGACTAATTTTGATTTGTTACTGTTGTTTCCAGATATCTCAATTCTGCCACATTCTCGGAACTTATGTTAGGTATGTTTGTATTATAATTTTTCCTTGCAGTTTGGTGACAAAGACATGAAAAAATGTTCCCTACGTTTACTTCTATACCAACCTCCTTACCAGCATCTGATAGAGCTTGTGTTTCCTTTATGGTATTTTTGTTTTTGTCCAGTAAATTATCATCATGAGCATGAACCAGAAGTTCCTGTGCAGTTGTCATTAGCTTTTTCTTTTTTGTAGCTTCATGGTTCAACTATAACAAAAACTGCCAGTAAGAAGGTCCAAGGAAACCAGAACATAAGCAAAATTGTGGCGTAAAATTATAGAAACAGATACCGGCTCTCTATAATCTGAAATGTGGGGAAATAAAAAACTGTCATCCACACTTGAGAATAAATCTGGAACCTGCTCATTACAACTTTGACATTTCAAAAATTAAAGCAGTGACATCTAGTTTTCTCATACCCAGAAACTAATTTGCCTTCAGTTTATTTTAACAATTATTCCAAGGTTTATCTGGAAGGTATAGACCTTACACATATGTCAGAATGCTTCAGTTCTATGTATTTTGTGAAAACTACAGAGAAGAAATGTTATACTTGTTAGTGATCACACCATATTTCAGATCAGAAACAACAAAAAGAGACCCCGTGGCCTGTAGCCCACAGGTGAACTATACCGACCGAATGACCGTTGCTTATTGGCGAAGTTAGTGCCAACTTTAGTGGATAGAGGGTGTCGCATGGTCAGCACAACGGATCCCCATGGCCGTTAATTTCGGTTCTCTAGACTGGAGCTGCTATTTCCTTGAAATTGCTCCTCAGTTATCCACACGAGGCTGTGGACCCAATTCCAGACCCACTACATCTCAGAAAATCTGGTATGCCAAGAATCAAACACAGACCTCTGGATCTGTAGCCAGGAACTCTGACCACTAGACCACAGAGGCAGTCCATTCAGTGAAAAAATATTACTTCAGAAACCTAGAATGTAGTTATGTTTTCAGTGATAATATTTTTTCCACCAAAATTAACAGGACTTACCAGGTCTTTGAAAAATGAAAGATTCTTGAACCAGGATATTTCTTTATTGTAATTGTAAAGTATCTTACAACCTGTAAGATTTGAGGTTTTCACGGCAGTGACCATGAAGAATGCCATCTTCTGGGATGTAGCGCTGTGTAGATATTGTGTTAACCACGTTTCAGAGAATGTATCACCTCCATCTTCAGGGTATAAGAAATCCGTGAGCAATGAACCAGCATGAGCAGGTGAAATGTCGTTAAGACAATATCTACAGGGTGCTGCATCCCAGAAGACAGCCTTCTTTATCTTACAACCTATTGACAGCATATTTTTAAATTCTTTGTGTTTTAGTTTTCAGATTTCAAGAGAAGAACACAGGAACACTGGTAATAGCAGCATAGTGAATATTTATGATGGTCGGTCCATCAGCATTTCTATTGTTGTGTAACAGCAGTGTCAACTTTATCAGGTAACCAAGGCCTCTGGATATAGTTTGTGAGGACATGGTGTACAGTAAACATGGAAGAGGTGGGTTTGATGAATTCTGGTGCTAATATTTATCAAAAAAATATAGATTTTCCTACACATATTCAGAACAGTTTTCTTAATGAGACCACTCAGAGAAGTGTTGCCACTAATACAGACTACATAAGGGACATGCATTATGGTGAAGTGAGTGAAGCTGTAGGGATGGTATTAGGGTTTGATGAAATTTCATCATACAAATTACATAAGTTAAAGAATGTGAAAAAGAATTCTCCAAAATTTCCTTTAAGTTGCTCAATATGTAAGGAATCTTTTGATAGAAAACTTGAGTTGGACATACATTTAATGTCTCATAATGAGGAATTGTACAAGTGTCCTATTTGCCAAAAATCATTTCCTGATGTTCATTTAATGCAAAGACATGTGGCATTTCATACAGGGAGTGAATTGCATCAGTGTCCAGTGTGTATGAAGTGTTTCATGCGGAAAGGTCTCTTAAACCGCCATATGACAGTACATACCGTTGAGAGACCCCACCATTGTATGGTGTGTAAGAAGTCATTCAAGAAGAAAGGTGACCTTCATATACACATTAAGAACTGCCATTCCTCTACTATTCGTCACGAATGCACAGTGTGCCAAAAGACGTTTTCTCGACGAGATACCATGCTTCTTCATATGAGGTTGCATTCTAATGACAAATTGTTTCAGTGCCCTGTTTGTTTGAAGTGTTTCCCTCAGAAATTTCATTTAAATCGACATGTTACCATACATTCCCAGGAGAGACCTTATCCATGTTATGTATGCAGCAAATCATTTAAAAGCATTTCTGAGTTGAACATTCACACTGAAATTCACTACAGTGATAAACGTCACAAGTGTCCGCTGTGCGACAAATTGTTTTCAAGGCAGGATAGTATGCGTCTTCACATGAAACTGCATACAGGAGACAACTTATATAAATGCCCCATCTGTTTAAAGTGTTTCACACAGAAGTTCCACTTGAATAGGCACAGTCTTGTACATTCAGAAGAGAAACCACATCAGTGCACTGTATGTAATAAAATGTTTAAATGTCAACGAAACCTTAAGATACATTCCAAGACCCACATCAAAGAGAAACAACATGAATGTGTTATGTGCAATAAAACTTTTGCTAGAAGAGACACAATGTTAGTACATATGAGACTTCATACAAGGGATAAGTTACACAAGTGTTCAATATGCTTTAAACACTTTCCTTTAAGGAGTCATCTTGCAAGGCATTTGAAGATTCATACCGGTATTCAGCGTCACCACTGCCCTATTTGTAACAAGGGTTTCAGAAGCAAATACTACCTCTCACAACATGCCAGGTTACATACTGATAGCCAGCCATTTGCGTGTTCTGTGTGCAAGAAGACATTTAGTATCAAGCAGCATCTGCAAAGTCACGAAAAAAGTCATCGTAGGGAAAAATCCTCTCTTCCTCTCTCAGAAATATCGATTATACCTCATGTAGAGAATTCGTCCATACCTCTTGAAGAGAAATCACCTGTATCTCATATAGAGAGGACTTTTATCCCTTTTACAGAGAAACTGGCTATCCCATATTTGGAGAAGTCAGCTGCCCCGTATCCAGAGAAGACATCTGTCCTCTACCCAGATAACTCTGCTGTCCCATATTCAGAGAAGTCAGCTATCCAGTATCCAGAAAAGTGAACTAAGTAGACCCTCAATATAAAGCAGGCGTCAGGAGACAGCTTCACTACCCACATCATAAGTGAAATTGACAGTTACCTGATTTTGGAATCCATGTTATTATGTACACAGTATTTATGCAGTGATTAAAATATATACATGAATTTTAAGGTATATCTCAGATTTTCATGTTACCAGTGGTATGGCATAGACCAGTGGAAGTTACTGCTATTTTGCCTCCCGATTAAACTATTAATTTAATGTAGTTTGTTGGGGCTGATGACTGCTTTTTGAGAACATGTTGCTTAACATTGGCTAGATGCAGTAAATAGTGTTCAACATGCCTATTATCTTGTACGTGTCATCACCTCATTAACCCTTTCTAGCACCACCCTCCCATTCCCCACAGTTTTAGTAACGCTACATCATAGGAATCATCAGTGTTGTTTTCTCAGTCATTTACTATGTCTCTGGCTGCAGGTTCATCATCTTCCCATTTTTCACATAATCTGTGGTATCCTTTTCACTAAGATGCTGCGTGACCAGACTTCCTAATCCTACCTCAGTCAAACCACCAGGTAATATGCCTCTAAATTACTATTGAGTGTATCACACACACAGTCCTCTCATCTTGTTTTAGAAATGGAATTAACTTCGTCTCAACTTCTGTGATGTTATCTTTTCCATTGCTTTTTCTTGTAGTTTGCAATAGTTATTGGCCTAAACCAACATTGTCTGCAACATGCTTTAGCATTAATATCTTTAGAAATCCCCTACTTTTTAAATCCAGAGTTTACAACTCCACCAAGTAGCTCAATGTGATAGTAGGTTTCAAGGACTCGAATAATACCATAATCCATATGCTGAATCAGTGCAGTGCTCTTGTTTGGCAGAAATGTGGCTCTAATCTTTCCATCTTTAAGTTTTCTGACATCAGTAGAAGAATAAGCTGAACAGTGATCTAACAATAATAAAACCATTTCTTCAAGTTTTTTTTGACTCACGTGACACATAATCAGTTTAAAACCAAGAGGCAAAAAAATGACATGCTGCCCAAACACTGGAACCATTTTTGTAGATCACAGACAGAGATTTCATGATAATGTGCTTCAAATAAAAAGGACTTTGACTTTCACCAATGTGCAGTGGTTTCAGAGTGTTGTTGCCAGTCTTACTGGAACACAGGAATGAGGTCACTCTTTGTCAGTTGCCACCTGCATTGCTGAGTGCTTTTCCAAAGTCTGATAATTTGTTTGGAAGCAGTCTGTAGTACAGTGCTGTTTTGTTATGGTTGTACAATTGTTCAGTAGCTTTACATAGAATTTCTGGGAATTGTGAAGCTGCTGTACTATCCCCAGATACAGGTTCGCCTTCAGTGTTAATTTGGCATGTCCCCTGCTACCTCCAAAGCTGCCCTTTAGAAGCTTTAAATGGCTCATTCCTGAGTAGTTTGTTATATTCAACTGCTTTAGCTTTTAAAATTATCCAAATTATAGGCACTCTTTTACCAAACTTTTGTAGGAACCACTTGTACAAACACTTTCCACTGTAACTGTTTTCACAAAGTCCAGTCTTCTCTCTTTGCAGCCCAACATTGTCTTCTTTGGAATGTACAAATAAATGTAAGTGTTCTTTCTTACAGCCACATATTGTTCCTTCTGAAATTCCAGGTTGGTGAAATAAACCAGGTTTTGATTTGCCATTATTAACTTTTCTGATGCATTTCTGCTGTTGTAGAGTCTTTCCTTTTCATCATCAGTATTGCAGGACTGCCCACTCTTAATAAACAGTCAGTATGATGTAGTTTTTTGGGACTAACCCTGTTCAACAGCTCAGCAGGATTTCTGACTGTTTTTGATCAAGCAGGTAAAAGGGTGCTTATTAAATTCTGCTGTTTGAACAAAATAATCTAAACATTAGAGGAACCAGAAGCATACAATCTCTTTATAGCAGACTGTAGACTGCACACTGCATCAAAGAATGCTGCAGTATAGTTTTATAGAGTAACTAAAACATTAATAAAAATTTGTATGACATAAAACATGTGGCAGGTAATCATACTGGGGGATATGATCAAAGCCACAGTGTAACCAAATCCAGAATATAATGAGGTGTTTCATAATGAGGGCCTGATGTATGTCTTATCCAGAGAAGTCATCTATAACCTCTGTAGATAAATTTACTGTTCCATATACAGAGAAGATGGTTATCTTCCATATAGTGAAATCAGCAACCCTTCTGGTAAGAAGAGAAGACAGCAGGCAGTCTGCAGGAAGTCAACTTTATCCTGTACAGAGAAGTCAGATGTTTCTCTGATAGAAAATCCAACTGAATCCCTTATAGTGAAATTGGCTGTTCCTATTGCACAGAATTAAGCTCTGCCTCCTTCTGATAGCTAGTAACAAGAAATTGCATCCATCTGGCATGTTATTTGATCCCAACTCAGAAATTAACATTGGAGTTCAGTAATTGATGTGTTCTTGTGCTCATGTACCCAATTATGTATCAGAGTATTATATATGTTTAATAGTGAAATGTTTTCATGTATTGAAGTCAAGGGTTAGCAGTGAAGTCATTGAGAATATTTTAGATTGTCATAATACTGGTATGTAACAAGTTAGGGAAATACAGCATAGAAATTCTGTCTTTTCCTCTGATTTGGCCTTTAGTCTTTTGATTCATGAATGTTAATTTTTATGCTGTATTATAAATAGAGTAACATTGATATCATCAATATTAAAGAACTGATAAATCAGAAAATTTTAAATGTGTTTTATAGAGGGAGGATTTTTACTCACTTGATGAGTTCATGGCTCTGTGCTTTGCGGTGACAGTGTACCACTAGCCACAAGGCGCATGCGAATTTTGCTGATGAATCAGCATGCCTGATGGCTGATAACATTCAGAATGAAGGAGGTACAATTCACAGATCACAGGAGGTGTTTGAAAATGCTGTCCTCTCTACATGTAGATATTTTTTGCAATTAATTGTTTCATTAAAAACACAGGTAAAAAATCCTAATTGCACTTAGAGCACACCAGACACCAACTTTCACTGGATGGCTTCAGCAGTTGTGTTGCCATTCTTGCACTAGACTTTGACACTTTGACTCTTGAGCTAGACATTTCAGTGATTTTCTAGGTGTATGTTCAAGTCTCACCCTGTGTCATGTAACTTCACTTATATTTTTGGTTCTTGTCTATTAAGAGCTCTGTTGTTCTAAGTTTATTCACCAAATTGTGAATTGTTTGTCTGCTGGGAATTATATCATCATGAAATTAACCTCAAAATTTTTGTTGATACATTCTAACAGATCCATATTTCGCATAGCTGTCATACAGAAATACACATTGCTCTAAAGTATACCGCACCATGATGTACCACACTGCTCACTAGCTGAAACTGAGAACAAATGGCTAATGGAGCTGATAACTGCTCCCTGCTGCTGACAAATTGTAAACAAATCCCATGCATGAACGGCACTGTTCAATGTGAAACATAATGTCATGAAGCGGTCTAAAAGTTAATTACTTCCCTTCGTTCCAAACTTTATCAGCTGATTCATCGGCAAAATTTATATGCAAGCAGGTGGCGCACCAGCCACTGTGAAGCACAGAGCCATGAACTTTTCAAGTGAGTAAAAATTCTCCCTGTACTTTTTACTCCACAAAGTCATGGCTGAAATCGTGAATTGTAAGTAATGAAGTATACCAAGGCCATGCACTATATCAAGTTGGATTACATATATATCATCCTTGCCTCTGTCTTATTCATTAATAGAAAAAGCATTATAAACAAAATAATAATGTATATATTTTATTATTGACTCTCTGCACTGTTATAGCCTTTTGTGTCTTTTAGTTGCTATTGCACCAAAAAATCAGTTGGCAAATAGTTACTGTTCTCAGTCAAAAGGCAACACAATAGACTATGAAAGTATATATATGTACATTCTGGTGAGCTATGTTCAGATAATTGATGTAATGGACATTGTTCTGGCTTCCTATATAGGAAATCAGTGTTTCAATCTTGGGAAAATTTGATATTGTACATGGACATATCATTATTATTTTGCTTGAGTTACAGTAGAATAAAAGTGTTGCAAGATTAGATGAATAGTTTAGTAAGAAACTACGTTAGACGAACTGTGTGGCCCCCGAATTCATAATAGGCTCTTATGTAACATACCACTTCTGTTGCACTGATCATTATGAAACTTGAAATGGTTTGACAGATTTGTGGAAGGACCTAGTGTATAAAAACTTATTAAACGCAGTCCAACCATTCTCAAGTTATGAGACTTATGGAAAAGGTATGTTGGATATAAAATGTGTTTTATTTTTCTCTGCAACTTTTGTTCAGACTATTTTCTGCTGAAATAAATATTTAGCAGGGTATGATTTAGATGCATGTAGATCTTATAGTATCCATTACTGTTGTCCAATTTTTACCAAAGTGGAGTGTGTTGACAAATTTTAGTAGTAGTATGCAGTGTCAAGCTCAAAAAAAGAAATCCATTCAGTTGTTTCTGAGGGATCTGCAGAGAGACAGACGGATAGACATAGCAAAACTAATGGGACCATTTTTGCAGCTTATTGTTAAGGGTATGACAGAAAGGCCCAGGGAGGCAGTGCTAACCACTTCCCCCCCCCAATGATGACATTAAAAGCTGAAACATGTGGCTAAGGTAATATTAACCTTGACTGTTATGTTGTTGTGTTACGATGGACTCCAATAAAGAATTGCATCATTTTGTTATTTTAGAGTTAATGTGTTTTTTTATTCCTCTCACTCATCATTTATGAATACAAAATTTTGGTGGAGAAACCTGTTGGAAGGCGACTACTTAGGGGATCAGGAAGAAGGAAAGATAACATTGAAATAACTCAGGAAAATGAATTTGATATTAGTGATGTTGATCTTGACAAGGTGGTGAACAAGCATAAAGGAGTAGATAGTTGAAACAACTTTTATAGCAGGATACATGTATGTTACAAATTAATCAAAAGAGCATGGCTTAAACCATGAGGCTTAATGAAAGTAATGGTGGCATTGATATACATAGCTTTGAATATTCTTGATGACTTCACTTTGAAATGTTACATCACTTCTTCTGCTTCAGTATAAACGTTTAAATAATTACAGGCTTCAGTTTCTTTAATATTTTATGAACACTAAAGGATTTAGCTGAAAATAAGTAAATTCTCTTTGCAAATTGTAGGCCAGTGGAATAACAAAACAAGTGTTATTACTGTATCTGAATGTTTCAGTGTTTATGTTATTAACATACGAACATAAAAATGCATTGTATGTAAATGATAAATGATGTGGTCAAAAGGTACACTAGTTATTTAACCCTTGTATTACATGTCCTTGAATGTTATCAGTGTGTATTCTAAGGCCACAACCATAAATGATAAGGCTGCTCTCTTCAGAGCTTTCCTATTTGCATGTGAGTTGTGAATATTTTAGGATATGCTATGTTACAAGACACTTAAGAAATGTGCAAGCAACATTATTACAACTGGAGCATTCATGTTCTTAGGGTAAGACATTTGATTCTCAGTCCTGTTAGTTGGTTTTGTTCCTATTCAAAAACAGGTGGCAGTATTTCTCTAAGTCTTTGATAATGAATATGCTGAAGCATATTTTGTTAAAGTGGAGAGTACCAAGTCCCCACAGTGATTCTGATTCAGTATTAAGTATTAGGTTGTGTGCGCTAACCATCATTTTTATCATCACAGCCACCAAGCGGTTATGTCAATGATCTAGGTGTGTATATAGGATTTGTGTGGTTCAAATCTTGGCCAGGACAATGGCTGTCCTTACTGTGGATTTCCTTAGTTTTTTCCAGTCCCTCCAGGCAAATTATAGATTAACACCTAGTTTAGGCCATGACTGCTCCCTTCCAAATCCTTTCCCGTTCTTTGTTCACCAATCATCATATCATTTGATGCTATATAATTTAAGTATGATAACACTGTAAAATGAACTATAAAAAAGCTATTGTCCTTCCATTGTATGTGGTTTCTCATTCTGTTGTATGGATTCTTCTGCATTAAAACAATTCCTTCACCCTGCTGTATAGGTTGATGCCAGGTTTGTTGCAAATATAGTTACTGGCAGTGGCTCACTTATCAACTGAAATTTCATTATGTGCTTTCATCCTGCCATTTTTTCCACAATTAATTCACTGTTCCTGTTGTTATTGTTTTTTTAAACCTAAGCATCATTATGTAATTAACAACCACAAACATAAATGAATGAAGAATATTTGTCATTTTAGTGAGTGTTGCTGGTGGTGTTGCACTACTGACATATTTGTAGACAGTGACTTAGGTTCAGTTCAGAGTGAAATGAAACTTCACAGTCAGTGTTTGTGTCAAGTTTTTTATGAGAAACTGAAATATTCTTTCTATAGTACGTCAATGTTAAGATATGTAAGAGTAGCCGAAAGACTGATACGACCTTAAAATCTGAGTTTCCCCAAAATTTTGCCATCATTAAACTGTAACAGTAGCTGTCAGGTAGGCTTTTGGCATGATATATGTAGCAGCTATTCAAATAGGGGTAATACTTTGAGTTTATATAATGATGAAAGTAATTCAAAAAGTGCACATGCCACCTGTAAAATAATGGTTATTTTATGTTCCATAAAAGTGAATAACCCAGTATATTACAAAATATGCTAATTGTGAATGTAAACAAGAAAGAGTTTAATTACAAGTGACATATTTACCCCATTTTTAGTTTTCAGTTACTAGTGGTAAACTTATGATGTGCTAATGAGGTTACTGTATGTTCTTCGAAGTTATCTATGGATGATGGGCAGTTGTTAGTAATTTTATGTTCTGGTTGCTTGTACCAAACTGTATGGTAGTTGTATACAGTCACTTGTAAGTGTACAGATTAGAGTCATATCTACTTTAGTGTATATAGTGTAAAATTGAGATATAAAAGTGATTTGATCCTAGGTTGAGAAATTATTTCCAAAATAATCTATCTTGGGCTTCAGAAAATTTCTTTGGGCTGTCAAATCCACGTATTATGAATTTCTGAGTGCCACATATTTGAAAAAAAAATCCTGAAATATTGTTGCGTAACATTGTTTTAATTTTCCAACAACATGGGAATAAAGTTACAACTTAAAATCCTGGCATATAATTATGCTACATGATGTCAAATTATAAATTGTCCACCAGTACTTTTCCAGAATCGGAACCACATCTGTAAAAAAAAATTGGAAACATGTAAGAATAAATCCAAGCATGGTTTATATTTACAAAGTCATGAATTTTAATTGGAATTTCAAAGTTACATTAATAATTTAACTAGTGTGGTACATTATGAAAGATAACATCTCCCACCCCCGGGAATGACTCTTTTTAGAATCAATTTGTACTGTGGTTTGTGTTGTTTCATTTTGACAGAAAATCAGATTTATTCAGTGAGGGGTTATTAAAATCAGAAGATCAAATACGTTCTTGTTCAAGACTGTTACTGATCATTGCTCACTGGTGTATTAAGCTTACTCATGTGTATATCATCATTGGAGTGAAGTTTTATTTTTAGTGCTGTGTAATGTAAGATGCCACAAGCACTTCATGTAGTTATGTATAACATTTCTTTTTATTTTGGGAATATAGTTTGATTTATTCTGAAAAATCTTTCTATACTTTTTAAATCTGGACCAAAGAATTGTAATTCTTTTACGTGATAACATTACAATTTATATATATGTACAGTTATTGTAATTTATGAAGCTTTACATATTCACTGATTTCAAAATAAAATTGAGATAAATGGGCCAGATTTGAGATCTCGCAGGAATAAGGGCCAGAAATGTGAGAAAAGTTTTGAAAACAGTACCTACATTGGAAAATTCTATACATCAATAACTTTCCTTCAACAGTAAGATATGGGCTCGTTTGTATATTTGATTGTTTATACTTCATATGTTCCCAACTTAAAATTCAAGCATGGATGTAAATGATTATTGTTCTTGATAAGAATTTTATTAAATTATTTTGTTAGCCATTTAGGTAGAGCCTAATCACATGTTATTATTATAGAACTTAGAATTTATAACAGAACTTCTTGTGTAAATTACTAGATACTACAATCAGACACATGTTAGATGTGCATTTGTTACCAAAGAAGCTTATAGTTTTCATACTTTCCCAAGTAATAGGTAGTCAATTTATGATGAGGTCATTTTGATGGACTTGACAGTAAACTTTAAAAATGGGGTGTACTTGGTTGGATAAAATATAGATGGAATGAAGACCACTTCTCTCATTTCGGTATGTCTAATGAACAATGATTATGAGTGGAGTGATTTATAACTCCTTTCTCTTGAAGGAAAGTGTTGATAGAGAAAATGTCATTACAGTATCTGAAAATAATAAAGAAAATTCTCAAGAGAATATAAACACATTTTGGAAAATCCTAAAAATTAACATAACACAGAAAATTCACTTGTACCAGATTTTGTGAATTGTGAAATTCCTGGTCATGTTCTGTTAGGATGTATATCCCATTTCATCTTAATTTTTTAATCTGTTTGTTAGTAATTTGTGTTTTGTTGTTATCCTGTGCTTTTATAAGCCAGTTAATACTGAAATTGAATTATACACATGGGAAAGCAAAGGACTTATCAGTATCTTATGTTGTTTCATTACATTTCCTCGACATGTTTTGATGTGGGTGTTCATATTGTGCCAGCACTCTCCATTACAATAAAAGTTTTGAAAGTAAGCTGTCATGATTTCATGCCATTTCACATGTATGTTAAAAACAAAGGGATTTTCTCTCTCTTGAGCAAGAGGAAAGAACATGAGTTTCGTAGCCTGAATATGCATTCAACAGTTGTGAATGAATTTGCACATTGCAACCCACATGTTTGTTGTAAGATTTAACACTAACACGTGAGTGTAGAAGGTATTAAAATTTTAATAGAGTGTAGCTTTTTTTTTACAGATTATTACAGTGAGCCAGGGTAATAGTAAAGAAAGAAAGAAAAGATGGATAAAATCTATGTATTTTATGTTGTGTTTTACTGCTCTGAGGGATTAAAGAGCATTGTATTGTTTTCTTTTGGTGCCGTGTGGCTGAGTTCTTTGATAATTATGTTGTATATGTCCCATTGTACAAGCCCCAAATTATAGATGAATTTCAAACCATTCATACCCAGTCTTTTTAACATCATTAAATAAATTTTACACCTCCAGTTTTTAATAATTCATGTGTCATCATAGCATCAAAATTTCCACAGCCACCACAATATCGTAGGATCCGGGATAGCATAGTGAGTATAGTGACTTGCCACGTGTTTAACGACCAAGGGGTCGGACTTCAAGTGCCAGTAGGGCCAAGAATTTTATCCTCTCCACGTTGTCCATACCAGGTCTAGGGTCTACCCAACCTCATATCCAATGTGTACCAGGGTCTCTTTCCAGGGGGTAAAGCGGTCAGGGCGTGGAGCTGACCACTCACCTCCAGCTATAGTGCCGACAGCAAGAAAATGTGGATCTATAGATCCACTCCCCTATACACCTTCATAACATAGTGTTTAATTAGTTTAGTACAGGGACAACTTTACCTTTCCTTTTACCACGATATTGTACATTTTCCTATGAAGGATTAATAATAGTTGCATTATTTTGAAGGATCAATCACCACACAAAACTTCTGGTTCCTACATTGACTGGACTGATGTTTCCTCCGCGTAGCAAGTTTATGACTGCCACATAGGTATTGGAAGGTGCAGGAAGATCAAGAGTGAATGGAATTGCACGGAACACATCAGCTTCTCGTCTGTGAATCTGCTTGGCAAAAACATGAATATCATACAGGGAGACACAAATAAGCAGCATAAAATCAAATATAAGGATAACCAATAAATCATCTGAAATGTGGCAAATAGGGGATTACAATAACAACAAAATTATATTCATGAAAGGAGTCAAGGTAGATTAAATTTGGAGAATGATTTAGTTTGGTTCAGTCAGTATCTTTATCTTCTCATCTGCTATCTAGAAGCCAAAAATTAAAATATACAAAATTATGATTTTATCAGTTGTTTCACATAGGTGTCTCATCTGAAAGAAAGAACATTGATTGAGGGTGGTGGAGATAATTACACAGTGAGGAGCTTCGTATTTTGTTTTCGTTGCCAGATACTCCTATTCCCACAGTGATGAGATCATCAGAACATGTTGCATGCACGAAGGAAGCACGAAATACATGCAAAATTTTAGTTGGAAAGCCTGAAGAGAAAGAGACCATTTTGGATATCTAAGCATAGGTAAATAGTTGGCATGAAAACTGATCTAAAATAAGTAGACCATAAGAATTTGGATTTCATTCATTTGGCTCAGATTGCATTGACAGGCTCTTATGGATGTAGTAGTGAATTTTCAGGTTCCTTAAATTGTGAGGGTGATGAATCTCATGGTAATTTGTGACAAAATTAGCTTATTAGCTTTTTAAGTAAGACTCTGCTTCATGGAGTTAATTTATATTGAGTTGTTTTTCTTTTGAATAGGTCCAGCCTCAGTTGACTTTTGGAAAATATCAGCCCTGAGGCAGACCATTTTGACTAATGAGTCATAATTTCTCTTACTGCAGACAAATGCCCCAGCGTCATAATATACACGTCACATAGTCTCTCACAGTGTCCTTTCACGCCCTTTCTTTGTTTCGTCTACTGTTATGTCTACCCAATGAACCAGGCACGTTATGTTGTGTGTAAGTACATTTGAATTTCCCACCGTGTGCGAATACCGGAAGTCTGCTGAAAGTAATGATGTCATAACGGTCTACGTCACTGCCGATGGTCAGTTGCAACATGACTTTGACTTCGACTTTGAACGGTGGCCCCTTCATTTTCGTCCTGCACTATTTCCATTTGACTGAAGGGCTGAAGGAAATATTCAGGTATCCATTTATCTCCCTTATAAGAAAAATTTCATGACATCTAGCGTTAGGAAGACTTTCTTGCATACACTTCGAAGAGTTTTTCAAGAATACAAATGGAAATGAAATAAAACCCTTCATAATTACACCTGTGTATAAAGAACTTCAAATGTCCGGGTACTAACAGTTACGTTACAAAATTATCTGCAGTGACAGTTTCACAGTATAACGTGCACTACAATTTACATTACATCACAGCACCTGATTATACTGAGACCTTAGGCTCCCTGGTAACAGCGTACTTGAAATGTTCAAGTAGTCGGGTATACAAATGCAAACTGCTGATTTATACAGTAATTATTTTACCTACTACTATATGGCACAATAAAATTGTAATGTAAATTTGTAAGCCTAATATTACTTTCTGTGCTGTACGACTGCTTGAATATGTTTTATTATTATTTATTAATTCAGTTAACCTCGTTGTCTCTCGAAGCTAATCAGTTATTTAAATGAGCGTTAAAAATGAAAATCCTGATAGGATAAACTGCACATAAAAGGCTGAAAGCTCGAAATATGTGCCTCACCTCAATTTTCTCCGCAAAAAAAAAAAAATAATAAATCCACATGGTAAAGTCAGTTCCCTGTCATGGTTCTGCTCGTTACATATCTGTTAACAAGATGTATCATAACATCGTGCACATCAGTATTCGGAGTAGACGAGTTCTACTTAACCGTTTTGAAACAAATATTAGATCTTCGGTATATTCAGTTCAGTAAATCCTTCTTTAGGTTACTACATAATATGGCATAATGCTGTATGATAAAATATTTTTTAGTCATAACCTTTACAATTTGCAATTACAGTAAAACTTGGTTATAGCAACATCGGTTTCTGCGACACCTTGTCTATTGCGTCAAATATTCAATGGTACGAACTAATTCCTCATAAAGCAACTGGTTTTATACCTTGCTTAGTACGACATGCACAAATGCATCAACCTCGTATGTAACGTCATTTTCATTCCTGAATTTCTCTGATATGGACATTGAACGTAATTTAGAAAGTGTGTATTGGGCAAGTAACAGGAAACAGATGAAGATAACTGATTACTGTACTCGTATCTAGGTACAGTAAGGCACAACAATTGATGTAATCTACTGTAATTTGGTGAGTAGGCCTACCTTTAATATACAGTATTAGTGCGGTGTGTATTGTCAGTGAAAAGCGCTGTAATATGTCTTTGATATTACACATTTGGGCAATTCCACGTTAATGTTACATTAGTCTGTACTTAACTACGTATTTCACTAAAAAATGCAACATTTTAACTCGGTTTTTGGTAGATTTTTACGTGACTAACATAAGGCTACTGTGGAAGTGCCCATTTCGGTTACAACGACATTCGTTTATAACGACACTATTTTTAGGTCCCTTTGATGACGTTATAACCAAGTTCTACTGTATATGAGTAATATAGCCTTTTCCTTGTCACTGAATTACACTCCATCTCATAGAAAAATATAGCAAATAAACAAACTTACCTTATTTGAGGACTTGAATAGATAGAAAAAAAATAGTTTATTTCCAAACGAAACCAGTTCATGGAAGTTTTCTGGAAACACCTTTAAAAAGAAAAATCTGTTAATTTTTTTCAGGCCTTTGATTCGGGAGATAAAGCCCACAGTTTGTATGGAAGTGCTCTTATGATTTAACTGTTGTTGTCACATATACTTTTATAAATTGTGAACGATGCCGAGGATTCAAAATTTTGTATATCCCCGTCGTTCTACCCTCACTCGTTCTCAGTGCATTTCTGACTCTATTCTCTATTATTTACTATATATAATATGTTTAATGTATATCGTCCCTATGTTGGGCATTCCTGTTTTCCCACCTGACATTTACGTTATCTGAGCAGTTCTGCGTCATCTAGTCTGTTCTTAGTCACCGTTGTAGTCCAATATCTTAATGGGATTTCTACTAAAACGTGTAGTAAGTTTCAAGGTGTCTTATGAGTTGGGAGTAATGAAGGAAATTATGTAAAACTGGTATTTAATATTACCAACAGTGCTCTTAGTTTTGTATTACTAAATAACAGTCTGTTACGCATATAATATTCGGCAATAAGGCGTCAATATCAGTCAAGATTTGAGGTTCTTACAACGGTGAATATCAAGGTTACGGCCCTTGTCTTCTGGCATGTAATGCCGCGTAATGTGGTAGACAATTGCTTGTCTACTAAACTGCAGGACGTCGCATCCCAAACTAACGTAGTCGTGTTCAGAGTAAGGCTTCTATTAATCGTCTGAAATGAAGACTTTTGCAGCCCGATCTGAAGTGCCAGGTAAAGCGATTAATAATAAGTGTTTATAAATAAGAGTTTAGTTAGTTCGGTTTGCTATTTGTGATAATGTGATTTGTATATTACTGATTAAGATTGTGGTATGATTAAGGATTTAAGCCTGAATCTTGATTCGATTAGGTCGAACAGCAGTTACAGGCTATATTAAGATTTTTGTACTACATTCGTAAAAATTAGAATATATAAAACTATAATTTTGCCTGTGGTTCTGTGTGGGTGTGAAACTTGGTCTCCGACATTAAGGGAGGAACATAGACTGAGGGTGTTTGAGAACAGGATGTTGAGGAGAATATTTGGACCGAAGAGAGATGAAGTGACAGGAGGATGGAGAAAACTGCATAATGAGGAGCTTCGTAACTTGTACTCTTCTCCAAGTATAATTAGAATGATCAAGACAAGGAGGATGAGGTGGGCAGGGCATGTAGCACGAATGGGGGAGACGAGGAATGCGTATAGGATATTGGTGGGAAAGCCAGAAGGAAAGAGACCACTGGGAAGACCAAGGTGTAGGTTGGTGGACAATATTAAAATGGATCTTGGAGATATAGGATGGGATGGTATGGATTGGATTGATCTGGCTCGGGATAGGGACCGGTGGAGGGCTCTTGTGAACACGGTAATGAACATTCGGGTTCCATAAAATGCTGGGAAATTCTTGAGTAGCTGCAGAATTGGCGGCTCTTCCAGAAGGGCTCAGCTCCATGAGTAAGTAAGTAAGTTTCCTGAACTTTTACAACTCGTAACTACAAGTGAGGGTTGTGCTCTCGCTGTTCTACAGTAGGCTTTCTCAGTCTGTTACAGTCTTCACTAGACGTTGCTTAGCAGCGGCTTCCAACGGCCGATGTTCCCTTTCCTCTGGGTTAACGAACTGTCACCGACCTCAGCTACTCGCTCCCAGCAGCAACAGCTCACAACAACTGAACCCCAGCTGCAATCTAAATAAATGGCTACTCCTAACTTGTCCTGCTTATAACATCTCGCATGGACCGCACCGAAAACACCGTTCCTCTGTTGCTGTTTATTGGCTGCTGCCTAGTAACGACCGTTCTATAGCAACGGTTCTGCATACCACATTATATTTATTGATTATGTCGGCGAACAAGAGCTGGGAAACATATACCTGCTTAAATTATTTCTAGATGGTTTAAATGAATTTTCCCTTACTCATTTGTTTCCAAGTTGACCGTAATTTTCGAATGTGTCAGTATTATACACCATGTTGTTAGATTAACGCCACTTTTTGAAATTGTTTTTTAATAATGGAAGAAATTAACTGAATTTTATGCTAGTAAGTACACAGCACTTAATATATCTAAGGAGTAATAATATATATTATGGCGTTTAAAAAATATTATGTCAACTTCAAAATGACTGTCCAGGTAAGTAATGGCATTATTGGGTCCGTTTACTCTGCATGAATTATACAGAGGACAGCTGACAATAACCACCATAATAACTGCAAACGTAAGACACGCTTCTTATTACATAATTTCGCATGTATTGCAGACTGACATGGGTTTGGGTGGCATAAATTCGTATTGTGCTGGTCGCTGATGGCTGAATTTACTGCGAGAGCAGGAAAACCGAACTGCACTGCCACGCTAGCACAAGGAACACTGGCTGAGGAACAACAGGCAGCCTTATTTGGTACTCCATTCGCGCAACCGCCTGTAGGGGTTTTGAGGTTCCAGGCAAGTAAATACGTATTCTGGTGCCACCAGAGAGAATTTGTAGGCCTATTTTAGAAGTTCATAGTTACTGAAATTATTATGAAGGAAGTCAAGTTAAAATAAGCTTCTTTATATTTTCATTGTCAGTAACTTGATTACAGGCCTAATTTATTGATATAGTGTAAAATTTATCCTCTTCCGAAATAATTGAAGTCTGTTTATAAAAAGCCGGTCACGATAGCCGAGCGGTCTAAGGCAGGTACTATTTTGGCTCGCTCTGAAGCCGGGATCGTGGGTTCGAATCCCACACAAGGCATGATGTTTGATGTGTGTGTATGCGTTTATTCCGTGTTTGTGTTGTCAGTTGTTTAGGTAGAGGCCCTGTGACTAACCGATCACCCGTCCAAGGAGTCCTAACGTCTGTAAAAATAATCAGTGAAACTGAGAAATCATCCCTATGCTCCAAAGATAAAAGTTGGAGCGAGAGGAAGAATTATAAAAATCTTATGACTTGCTGCAAGGTTCGTTCTATTAAGAGTCATTTATAGCTATCCGAAAAATTAGACCCATTAGTAAGGTAACGTGCACTAAAAGTCTAATTGAAAATAGTTTCGTGGATGGAGGAAACTCTCTTCGAGATTGTGACCGAATTTAAAGTAACAAGGTAAAGCTAGCTCAGCTATATGAAGTCGTGGTGGCCCATAGGGTTGTGAGACATCGAGGCTCCCACATTTTCTAGACAGTCGGCTCAGAGATGGCGATAAGTTTATCAGCCTTACACACCGTCCATCCTTCACCCTCAAGAAGATTCCTGGTACGCTGTGCGAATTATGAAGGCCGAATTATTCTTTCGCAGGAACCGAAATCTCCAACCAACTGGGTAGGAATTCTAAACGCAACCAAGAAATCAAAATCATGCACAGGAGCTTCTTTTCAGAACAGCTCGCAAAATGTGGATGAGGACTGTTTGTACCTCAATGTGTAGAAAGTATGATATCTTTTGCCTTGGCACAATTTTTAAGCCGGTGATAGCTTCGTATAAAACTAGATGGCAGTCTATGATGCTCCTACAGATGCATCCCCGTGTTTTCCTCTTACTAGTAACCTTAACTTATTTTTTGGACCTTAGTTTTCTTGTTTGTTAACGAATGGTTTCACTAATTGTGAATGTTCCAGGGAAGTTATATGGCATACTTAATTGAATAAATAATCTTGTAACTAATAATGAATCGCATATATCGGTCGTGTGTGTTGTATCCTCCTAAAGATTTAAAAGTCGTTAAATAATTTTAAATTATTCCGAGGCTGGCATGAGTAAGTGCCCATGAAACTGAGTTTGTAATTAAGTGATATGAGTGTAGTGATAAAAATGATATATGTAATATGAGCTTATGTGAGAGTCTCTGATATATATGCAGAATTACATAAAATATAAGCATTAAGCAATAGTTTATTAAACATGAGTGCTATAAGGAACAAAAATCTATATTTTAGAACAGTTCATTTTAATAGAAACCGGGATATAGAAGTTGTATCTTATATAGACTAAAACACACGCACTCACACACACACAATAATTCAGTGTCCCTTTTGTATGAAATTACTCGTAAAACGGGTTTGGTTATTCAAGTGAGCTTGCCGAAACGTTATTAAATAGAACACAAAGACATTCAGTAATTGTTCTGAAATCTTATAGCTTCTATGACATGACCACCTTGTCTGAGTTCCTATAAATTTCCTTGTTCTGCAACGAAACTATGACTGAAATGGACCCACACAGTCAACCCCGGTGAGCACTGTATTATCTCCGGGAAATTTTCCTTATATTCCAATTTAGTAATTACTAAACTTAAGTAATTACTTACTACAAGTTGTTTAGAATGATACATATGTTTAGCTTATACATTTGACCAACCGTTTGTTCGATAAGACAGAATTAAAGAACAAAACACTTCCTTGTTTTGTCTACAAATATGCCTATAAGGCATTCGTAGTAACTGCTAAAAGCATAATGGAGGTTCGCCAGATCTATACGCGTGACGCGCGTGACCTTAGGCCTGAGTACCTGTGTTTTGGGAAGGCTGTAATATCAAATAGCAATACGGAATAAAACGAAGCATAACACTTCAGGTTTTATGTACTATCGATTTCCTTTGCGCACATGCGCAATGTAACTCAAAACAGAAATAGCAAATTTTCAATAGGCCGTTCCACTAAAGGAATAACAAATATAGCAGACATAAAAAAGACTAGACAACGTATATACAATTCTTTGCAAGGAAATTTGTTCTTAGAAACCGCACCATAATTATCTGAATACCCTACCGGTACATGAATAGAATGCATGTCTGGGATAGGACATTGACAACCCATCTAGCTGATTAATTACGTATTATTGGTAAGACATTTATCGACGTGCCATTAGACATGAGTCGATGGAGGCTGGCGGTTGAACGGCTGTGGTGGAGGAAGAATCAATCGTAGGCAAAGAACCATGACACCACCTCACCACGCTTCACACCTGTAGACTACAAGCTGTTTCACATTCGCTGGGGTCTGCAGCATAATATCCACTCTGACTCTCCATGCCATAATGCATGTGCTGGTCAATCTTTTTAATATCTTTTGCCGTAGTAGGTACATATCCTTATGTTGTATATGTCTGGATAATATTAAAATGTATCTTTAAGCAATAGGTGGCAACACCTGAAAAGGAAGCTGTTTAACGCAGTTACTTACAACTATTCTTGTTATGTAAGTAGGCGTGCAGAGAAACTTCAGCTTCAGCATAATATTATATTTGAGCATCCTTTTGCATTAAGTTGTCATTTATATCCTCCTATAGTGCAACAATTAACAACACTAATTCACACTTAATCTATACAGTGGTCGTTATGCTTATAAAATCTTATTAAAATCATTAAAATATTAGAATATGTTATATATATACATATATTAGAATATCGTATACGCATTATCACAATGCTACATGTTTCGACCATGTAAAGCCATCTTCAAGCAACACTTTTATAAGGAGTTTAATGCACTGCGCACTAATCAATATAATTCCTTTCGTTACGTCATTGGTGCTTTCTTCTTCATGTCTTTTTTTAAATGCTGCTGTTTCTCTGCAATGTATAACACGTATGGCCTTATATGGTCGAAATATGTAGCATCGTGATAATGCGTATATATTCTAATATTTTAGTAATTTTAGTAACATTGTATACACATAACGACCACCATATGGATTACGTGTGAACCAGTGTAAATCGTTGCATTATAGACGGAAACAATAGACCATAAGTTCGGCTTCAGCATGTTTTCAATCGCTCTTCAGCAATATATCTCAATTTTATAGCCCCTCAGAAGGCCTCTTATCATCCCTTAAGGTGCACCCCAACAAAGTAGGCACATAGAAAATATAGACTACAAGGAATGGAGGATGCTGGCATTGAATCCTGTGATACTTGAAACGTGTCACATTCGGTTTGAAAGCAATTATCCATCAGATTTTCGTCTAGAGACCAAAAACTAATTGCATGTTTTAAAGTGTTCCAAGCAAGTCAGACAAATATAATTTAACTTAAACTTTACAAATGGCATGCACTGTCTTCGCTCGCTTGGAAACCGGGATCGTGGGTTCGAATTCCACTCAGGGCATGGATGTTTAGTTTGTGTGTGTGCGTTTTTCTGTGTTTGTGTACAGGTAGACGCCTTGCTACGAGCTGATCACCCGCCCAAGGAGTCCTACCGAATGTGTAAGATCTAGAAAAACCGAAGTGAACTGAGAAGTTCATGGAGATAGGCCTAGGCCCACGGGGGCTGTAGTGCCATGGAAAAAAAAAACTTTACAAATGCTACGTTTTAGTATCGTACAGTTTTTAAAACAGGTTTTATGGTCGTCAGAAATTCTTCATGAAAAGTCTAAATATGTATAAAGATGGCTTTATTTAGAGAACTACGTAAGATGACGGGATGTGTAGAGGCGAGGCCCTTCTGCAACATTAGATTTAATATGATTGTTATTAGACGAATGAATGTGTTTCAAATTAAGTTTTAGGAACGCCTTCTATTTTCTTCAAATGCACACGGTCTGTATGTGTACGATGAAGCTAAAACTATGAACTCATAACTATACAAATTTATGGATCCATTTCTGTGCATTATTTCCATTATTTAGAGCAATTTGTTATAACAAATCGGATGATAGATAGATCCTGTGGAGTTTTTCGGGAACCATTTTGTTTTACATTCAATAAAAAAGTTACCGCAACAGAAGTTGCGCATTTTCGAAGATCTACCATCCGCAACAATTTCAAGACTCTGTACTAAGTAGTGCATAAGGCCGCGCTATAGCTCAAGCGGTTAGTCGCTGGCTTCCCATCGCGGCGACCTAGGTTCGATCCCGGGTCTGATGAAGTGGGATTTGTGGTGGATGAAGTGGTGCTGGGGCGGGTTTTCTCCGAGTGCTTCGGTTTCCCTTGCCAGTGTTCATTCCATTAAATTCTCCATCATCATAATCACCCGGGGCAGGCTACAATAGGCCAATCAGTGGCCGCCGTGCCGAGTGAACCCCGTTGGACTCCACCCGCACTAAATGAATTAAAAAAAAAGTAGTGCATATGTCATCACTACCACAGGCGTTCAGACCTTTCAGACAGCCGTCTGAAGTCCAACTGGAGGCAAAATTCTTTCATTGCTTGTAATTATAAATATATTACAGACTCTTATTGAGCTGTACTGTTATTGTTATCGGCGTCGTTTTGTTCTTCTACCCAGCAGATTGGTGATGGAGAGGAGGCAGAATTCAGAGGTCATTCGCTGCGCCCCCTCCCCTCCAGAATTGAGAGATGGAGGTGCGACACAAATTCACTTTCATACGCAACTAATAATTCCATTTAGTCCATATGCAGTCGTAAATAAATTTATAATAGCGAATATTCGGTGTGGGTTATTATGATGTCACTTCGACCTTAAATCCACATAAAGGAGAATCGAGCTTCATTTCCTTTTCTTAAACCCTTAAGGTATATTTCGTCATATGGGAGACACAGATATAGATGGAATGACAATATTAAAATGTATCATAAGGAAATGTAGAGCAATGGTTAGGCCTGGACTCAACCAGTTCAGGGCAGAGTCCAGAGGCTGGCAATGAAATGAACGCTGGGGGTCCATAGAAGGCGGGAAATTTCTAGAACAAACGGTAGAATATCAGCTTCTCAAGAAGTACTCGTCTCTTTGGAATTAGTCGGTTATAACCTGACAAAGAAACGAACATTATATGGGCAGGCAAAAAGTTCTGGATGCAATACATTATCTTATTTCGGATGATTTTAATATGAAATTGATTGACGATTTACAAGAGCTTCCCTTCATATCCAGAGCCCTTAGCTTCAGGTCCATCTAGCTCAAGTATGTGAAAATTTACCTCCGTGCCTCCTCATAATTAAGTTCGGTTAGTCGCTGGATTCCCACCGCGGCGGCCCGTGTTCTATCCCGGGGTCTGGTTAAGTAGGATTTGTGGTGGACAAAGTGGCGCTGTGGCAGGTTTTCTCCGAGTACTTCGGTCACATTAGAAGCGCGGGATTGTTGAGGGGATAATCAAAAGGAGAGGCACAATAGACCACTGTAGGTCGCGGTGCAGGGGCCGAGTAGGCCTACCCCTTATACATTCATTCATTCATTCAAGCTATCCCTGTAACAGGCCGTGGAGGCCCATACGAATGTGAGAAGTCGAGGCTCCCACATTTTCTAGATAATCGGCTCACAGACGGCGGCGAGGTTGTCAGTCATGCGCGTCGACCTTTCTTTACCCACAGAAAGATTCTTGGTACTCATTTCTTTTCATGTTATACTCGTACATGCTTATTCTATTTGTTTATGTTTAGTTTGTTTATATTTTTCGATATATCACGAGATTGTAATATTCTAATGCGCTGTTTTCTTAATATTGCCAAATTTATCAGTTAGAGCCCAAGCTCAGCAGTAGCTTCTCAGTCTTGGTGTTCATCCCGGATGATGGATACCTAGGTCACGGGAGCTACCTGTACGGCCCCGACTACTTGGTGGACAGAAAGATGCTCGTGGTCATACTCAACTACGGAATTGGTCCACTTGGTATGTGACAATATTTTTTTTTAATTTATCTACTATCTCAGTCAGAAGCAATGAGCCATTTTAATAATGTACATTACATTTTATATTTACATTTATATCCGTTAATAAAATGTCCTTCGAATTTTTTTGTATGATTTATATTTTCACGCTTCGCTTTCACGTGTAATTTTTCCTCTATTATACACATGAGTTTCATATCTGACTTGACGGTAAGCCAGTACTCCTACTCTCTTCTTCCTTCTCTTCTCAAATCCTTCATTTTATTTAGCCTTTTCTTAAAATCCGTTACACAATTTTTTCGAAAATCTTTCCCCCTGTACTCTGTGCTTCCTTTCAGTAAGACTTCATCGCTTCCTGTTTATATATCTTTACATATTTATTTTATCATTCAGTTATTATTTTACCCGCCACATCAGTTTCATCGCCCGTTTCCTAAGTACAGGCAGTTCTGTGGCACCTGCAACTACGGGCTTAAGGACCAAGTCCAGGCACTTCGATGGGTTCAGGAAAACATCGGAGCTTTTGGAGGGAACCCCAACAAAGTCACAAAAATGGTCACGGTGGAGGTGGGGCCTGCATCCTGTATCGCCTCTTGTCACCCTTAAGTAAAGGTGAGCGAATTGTGCAGAAAATAGAATCATTCAAAATAAGTTAGTTCCCTCTTCAGAAAACAGATTGCCCTATAACTCATCATAAAGAATCTAGTTTCCTATTCATAAAATAGACTGAACTATATTCTGAAAACATTGTCGTTGGAAATTCCAAAGGCTTGTGATGAAGGCGTTTTATTAAATTGATACATGTGTTGGGCACTCCATGATTCGTTTTGGTTAAAAACGCTGCTTCACAAATTTATTTTTAACAAAATAGTGAATTGTTGGAAATGTCAGTTGAACGAGTAAGGTGTTCCGTAAGTTTGTGTTTACTAGATGAGAAAGGTAAAGGTGTCCCTGTGCTTAACTAATTTCCTTGACCTCAGCACTAGCTGGAGGTTAGTAGTCAGCTTCACGGCCCTGCCGCTTTACCCCCGGGGAAATAGCCCCCGTTACCCAGTGGGTAGGAGGTTGGGTGAACCCCAGAGCCGGTCTGGACGACATGGAGAAGAGACTCTAACCCCCGATCCCTCGGTTGTCTAGCCCATAGCCAGTCGCTATACCGACTGCACTATCCCATTTCCGTTTACTAGATACGGTAATGATAACATTGTCCCTGTGCTTGATTAAGCATAATATGATGAGGGCATATAAGAGGTGTTGTTACAGCTCCCACGCATTCTTAACCTCGGAATTAGGTGAGAGTAAGTGGTGAGCTTCACGCACTCAGCGCCTCTTCCCCGGGAAGGAACCGTCGGTACACGTCAGGTAGAAGACGGAGGTTGTGTCTGAGAGCCAGTCTGAACGCTGAGAAGGAAAGAAAATCTCTAGACACTGCCAGAAAAGAGCAACAATTTAATTGTAGGAACATCCCACATACTTACACGCTGTTTCTTAGGTCTAACAGAAAACACTCACTCCTAGTGCCTAATCGTAGTAGACGGTAAAAGCGTTTTCCCTTGCAACCTTAAAATTTAGAAGTAAGTCCAAATGAATAGTGTCGCTAGTTATCTGTCAAACCTACGAATACTCTAATTAGATCTGTCTATTCAGTGAGAACAATTCGTTATGTTGTTCGAGAAAAATAAATAGGTTTATAACTATTTCCATTACTTCCCGTTTGCTTCTTTATTGGTTTATTTAATAACACTTTACCATCTGCATATATTAAAAAAATTTTAATGACAGAAATATCTTGAAGGACGTGGAAGAAAGCAATCATGGTCGGATTCAAGGTAAAATTCCAGCGTTAAGATCACGTGACCACTTCTGGTGTAATACTAAAAATAAGACGTTCAGAAAATTTATAAGTGGAATAGAAGGTTTGGTAATATAAATACGAGTAGGCACTGGAAGGGGACGGGATATAAATAGTTGAAGACTTCATATATATATATATATATATATGATCGAAATTCCACAAAGATGGGGAGGAAAATCATGAAATAGCAAGAAGAGTAAAACTAGCAAATAATGCATATTTCTCGTTACTATCAGTTTTTAGATCAAGGGATATGCACCGAGCCATTAAAACAAAAATATATAAAACAATGATAAGACCGGTGCTTTATTACGAATATGAGGGTTGGACGCTAAACAAGAAAGAGGAATCAGTCATCAGTTCTTTCGAGAGGAAAATCCTAAGACGAATTTATGGACCAATAAAAGATAATGGGATATGGAGAAAAAGATATAATACAGATTTATACAAATTATACAAGGAGCCAGAGATCTCAGTGACGATAAAGCTAAAAAGATTGCAATGGTCTGGGCATGTACAGAGAATGGATAAGGAGCGTATCCCAAAGAAAATATTATATAGTACAATGGGCGGTAGGAGACGCGCTGGGAAACCAAGAACTAGATGGATTGGTGTGGTGGAAGAAGATGCGAAGAAGAGAATGGGTGTAAGGAACTCGAAGCGAGCAGTGCAAGACAGAGAGGAATGGAGGGGCTTGATGAGGGAGGGCAAGGCCCGAAATCGGGCTGTTGCGCCATAGAAGATGATAATTCTATTTTTAATCATGACGCTGCACATCCCGCTCCTCTTCCTTCTTCTTGCCACATTTGTATGCCTGTGAGCAGAAAGAAAAGGCTGTTGATATACTCAAGTTATTGCAACATTAGCAAGACCATTGTAATTATACATACCATCCCTTCGTCACCATAAAAGAAATCGCATGATAACTGGAAAGGAAGAAATCATTTCCTAATGGAGGGAAATCCCGGCACTTGCTTGGAGACANAGAAAGACAGACGAGTCGTCTAGAATTGTAAACATATCGTTATATAATATTTTATTAGTCTACATTTTTAAAATTTTGTCATTATTAAAGAAGTATAAAAGTAAAATATTACAATAATTATAAATTACATGTTGTCCGTATTCCTCCTTATGTTGCAGGTCTGTTTCATCGTGCCATATCGCAAAGCGGAAGTGCTTTGAATCCGAATACGCTGCCTGCTGCAAATCCTATAGATGCGGCTCGGGATTTCGGGCACAGAACCAAGTGTCCCATTGCTGATGATACTGCTCTGGTTTCATGCCTGAGGAAACTTAACCAAATGGAATTCGCTAATATAACGGTCATTCATTTTGTGAGTGTCTAAGTAAATTTTAGGCTTCCATATGATAAGGCCTAAGCGAGATAAAGAATATATTTAAATAATGTCTCATAATGAGAGTATGTCAAGATATAATAGACGTATAATTAATTGCTCCCTTGTGAACATCTACAGTATAATTCCTCTTAATCCTACTAATTGGTCTGTTAAAATGATATAGTACTATGTGTTTTAAAAATAGACAGTATTTAAATACGTCAGTTTAGCCGCAGGAAGAAAACGTCTTTTTGTTATAAATTAATGAAATTCTACTAATGGACGTTCAATTATAATATCTGGCCATCTTACAATTTCAATCTATTACAGCGAAATGAAAGCCATCATGCTTTTGGTGTCTGAAAGAACAATGTTAAGGGTGATCACAGTGAATATTGGACCAGTGATTGAGGCTAGCTCTTTCTAACGGACCCAACTGAATAGGTGTTTTCCTTCACCTGAGGACGGAAACAGATCCAGTTTCCGAAACGTCGTGTTTTTATTTGTTATCTTAAAAACCAGGACGATGGATAAAGTCCAAAAACCTAACATATCAGAATCTTGTTTCAGTACATTTTTAAGAAAGCCTGTGGCAGAGAACATGCGTACATACATACATACATACACACGCATATAGTACATACACACACACACACGGGTACGTTAACTAGTAATTTACTTATTAAAATTGATCCTGAAAACAATTTATACTTTTATATTTAGAGTTGTGGAGACGATATATCTATTAGTCTACGAAGTATTGCTAAACAACTGGCACACAACTTTTAACACAATGTTTTCAGCTGTCAATTCATATTCGTGATACAAAGCAACCGAAGGAGGTACAGATAAGGAGAAATAATAATTATAAATCCAAACAATCAGACACGAAAAAATGCACGACAGATGCAAGTAAAGCAATATAAATACTTGCACAAACTTCCTTATTCAGTTTGCTCACAATATGTATTACACGCTTATCTCGCAGTATATTGTGCCATCTTTTTTTTTTCCTGTAAGCACCCGATATCTGTAACAATTTTTCGAAACTAACTAACACAGTGGGAGCAGAGTCGAAGATTCAGCTCTGGCACTGGACACTCTTCTGGGACAGTTCCATCCATTTCTCACCCTCACAATCATTTTCCTTAAGATTGTTCTTTTTATTATTTTTCTGTTTCATTTCAGGTGTCCAAATGGATGCCTTCGAAATTTATATATGCATTCCTTGCCTCTTCCTCCCTACTACGTGCCCAGCTCATCGCAGTCTCCTTGATTTCACAATTATAACACTAAAGTACTAGGGGACATGTGAAACCCGGGAATATCGTAGTTGTGTGAAATATTGCAATGATCACCACAATATTCATGAAGTTCAGCACTTGTTTCCAAACGTTTGTAATTATGGTTTCTCTCAAAGTAAGAGACCATGTTTCACAACATATATAAGTGACTTATTAAGACATCGTCTGGTTATTTGAAAAAGAGACAGAACATTTCACAGGCGTATATTTTAACGCTAAAATTTCAATATATCGAAAAAAAGCAATTTATTATTAATATATTAATTTCCACTCCTTGTTCTGATACTGGGCTTAAAAGAAGTGTA